TTTATATATAGTGTTTTTATTGTCATTATTTTATGAGTTATGCTTAAATTTATCTTAACTTCATACTTAACCCAGAGATTATTTGATAATGTTTTTCATCAGCAAAAGAGAGGGTGCTATGGAAGTATATAGGAGGAGTATCTAATCCAGATTTATGGGATCAGAAAACTAGGTGTGGAAGAGATGACTTCTAAACTGAAACCAGGGGGATAGTGTGTGTGTGTGTGTGTGTGTGTGTGTGTGTGTGTGTGTGTGTGTGTGTGTGAAAAATGAGGTCACTAGTTGGGATAGGGGATTAAGTTAGCATTCCAAACTGAGAATACAGCATGTGCAAAAACTTGGAGGTGGGAGAGAACGTGGCAAGTCTGTGGAACTGAAATTAGTTCAGTATGATGAGATAATAAATTGTGAGACACAAAGTGGCTAGAGGTAAACCTGGCTAAAGAAAAGAGGGACCTTCTTGTGAAGCAATTTGGACATTATATATAATCCAAAAACAATATATTGTTTTGCTTGTGAGGTTTTATATTTTATATATCATCATATTGTTGGTATCCTGTAATTTTTTCATTCAACATAGAGATATATTTTATTATGTCATCCATCAACGTGTATCTCCCTTTCCACCCTGCATTTTTTTAACCTAGTTTCATCTAACATCTTTTTTGCAAGGGGGGAGGGCTGTGGGTTTTTTTATTATTATTACTGAAACATAATTGATTGTACATATCTGTGGGATACAGCATTGAATATCATACCTGTGTGCAATATGTGATGTCCAAATCAGGGTAATTAGTATATTCAACTTTACACATTTTAATTATTTTTGCAGCCCTTTACCAATTTCTCACGAACCCCACATCCACCTCCCCCTTTCCCATCTCTGTTGGCCTCAGTTCCATTCTACTCCCTTGGAAAGTTCAACGAGTTATTGTGATTTTCGTATCTTTCCTTCTTTCTTATTTATTTGTTTGTTTGTTTGTTTGTTTGTTTATTAGCTCCTCTTATGAGTGAAGGCATGTGTTATTTTTCTTTGCCTGGCTTATTTCACTTAACATAATTTTGTCTAAGTTCATGCATGTTGCTATGAATGGCAGAATTTCATTCGTTTTTATGGTAGAGTAGTATTCCATTGTGTATATATACCACGTTTTCCTTATCCAGTTGTCCATCAATAGATATTTAAGTTGGTTCCACCTATTGGCTGTTTTAAATAGAGCTGCAATAAACACGGCAGTGCAGATATCCCTTCAACATGATGATTTCCATTCCTGTGGGGATACACCCAGCAGGGGGATTGCTGGACTGTATGGCAGTTCTCTGTAGTTGTTTGAGAACCTCCATACTGTTTCCGTAATAGACTGAACTAATTTACAGTCCCACCAACAGTGTAGGAGAGTTCCCCTTTCTCTGAATCCTCACCAGCACTTGTTATTTTCTGTCTTTTTGATCATAGCCAGTCTAACTGGAGTGAGATGATATCTCATTGTGATTTTCATTTACATTTCTCTGATGCTTAGTGATGTTGAGCATTTTTTATATGTCTGTTGGCCATTTATATTTCTACCTTTGAGAAATGACTCTTCAGCTCCATTGCCCATTTTTTAATCAGGTTACTTGCTTTTTTACTGTTAAGTTGTTTAAGTTCTTTGTATATTCTGGATATTAATACCTTGTTGGATGAATAGTTTGCAAATATTTCCTCCATTCTTTAGGTTGTCATTTTGCTCTGTTAATTGTTTCTTTTGCTGTGCAAAAGCATTTTAGTTTGACATAATCCCATTTGTTTGTTTTTTCTTTTATTGCCTGTGCTTTTGGGGTCTTATTCTTAAAGTCTTTACCAAGTCCTACTTCTGAAGTGTTCCCCCTATGTTTTCTTTTAGTAGTTTTGTACTTTCAGGTCTTATAGTTAAGTCTTTAGTCCACTTTCAGTTGATTTTGGTATATGGTGATAGGTATCGGTTTAGTTTCATTGTTCTACATGAGTGTCCAAGTATCCCAGCACCATTTACCGAAGAAGCAGTCTTTTCCCCAATGTATATTCTTATTGCCTTTGTCAAAGATCAGTTGGCTATAAGTATGTGGGTTGATTTCTGGGTTATTTATTCTGTTCTATTTGTCCAAGTGTTTGTTTTTATGCCAGTACCATGCCATTTTTGTTACTACAGTTTTGTAATATAATTTGAAATCAGGTCGCATTATGCCTCTGGTTTTTTTGTTGCTGTACAAGATTGCTTTGGCTATTCAGGTCTTTTGTGTTTTTATGCCAGTACCATGCCATTTTTGTTACTACAGTTTTGTAATATAATTTGAAATCAGGTAGCATTATGCCTCTGGTTTTTTTGTTGCTGTACAAGATTGCTTTGGCTATTCAGGTCTTTTGTTGTTCCATATAAATGTTAGGATTGATTTTTCTATTTCTGTGAAGACTGTCATTGGTATTTTGATGGGGATTGCATTGAATCTGTAGATTGCTTTGGGTAGTATGGCCATTTTTATAATGTTAATTTATCCAATACAAGAGCATGGAATGTCTTTCCATCTTTTTGTGTCCTCTTTAATTTCTTTCAGCAGTGATTTGTAGTTTTCTCCCCTTCCACCCTGTGATCTACTGCATATATTTCTGATTAGGTAAGTTTGATTAGAATATAATTTATGGTAATTTGTAAAAATGTTACTGATTTATTCAGATTCCAAATGTAAGATGGACAAGCACAACACAGTCTGAACCTCCCTGACTCTATGAATTCACCTTCCTCCTTCCAGCCCATCCTAGGCGTTGTCTTTTAAAAATTAAAGAAGGTATACCCCTAGAGGCTATACATAATGTCATTTCTTGAAAGAAAGCTATGAAATCGACTAGTCAAACTGTTCATTTTACAGATATAGCAACAGAACCAAAGAGATTAAGAGACTTAGACTCCATGACCTGCTATGATTTAGGCAGAATATTCTATTAAGGGTAGAGAATTGATTACTATCTACTATAAGTGAAGCTGCAATGGTGGGCAATGCATTATACCAGTCCCACCCACCCCCTGCTCCCATTTCTCCATCTCAATTGTATTAGTCTGGTAGGGCTGCCATAAAAAAGATACCGTAGACTGGGTGGTTTAAACAACAGAAATTTATTTTCTAACATTTCTGAAGGTACTTTCAGGATTAGTTTCTGATGAGGCCTCTACTCCTGGCTATTAGATGGCCGCCTTCTCACTGTGTCCTGACATGGTCTTTCTTCTCTGTGTGCCCAGAGGCAGAGATCCCTGGTGTCTCTCCCTCTTCTTATAAGGATACTAGTCCTATCAGATTAGAGCCTCACACTTATGAACTCATTTAACCTTAATTACTTCCTTAAATGTCCTATCTCCAAAAACAGCCAACATACGAATTTGAGAGGGATACAATTCAGTCCATAACACAACACTTCCTAATACTACTATTCCTGTCGTTCTCAACCTTATTATCTCTTAATACACTAATTCCAGATCTTTTTTCTTATGTAAATGATATGATGTATAGAAGTGATATGGTAAATATAAGGAGAAAATGTATTCAGGAAGAAACTGAATACAATGAAGGGGCAAAGAAGTTCTCCAATATAATGTAATGCTACAGGTTTATGCCTGCATACTCTAATTTTCTCATATAATATAAATACTCAGTTATTATAAAACAAATGATCTTGGTTAAAAATACGCTTAAATAAAATAGCATGGTTTATTGTAACTTAGAATAACACAAACTAATGAAAAAAGACAAAAAGGAAAAAAGAAAAAAAAAAAAACTCATTGTCAGTTATATTGTTCACTTTCTGTTTTCTTTTTCTTTTTGTAAAAAAAAGACAAAAAGGAAAAAAGAAAAAAAAAAAAAACTCATTGTCAGTTATATTGTTCACTTTCTGTTTTCTTTTTCTTTTTGTAATGCATGGCTTTTCTATAAACTTTTGTTATCGATTGTAGTGTAACAAACTACCTCAAAACCTAATGTCTTCAAACAACAATCAGTTCTGTGGTTCAGCAATGTGGGTTCTGAGTGGCTGCACCATTCCGCGGGTTTCACCTGGGTTGATTCATGTGGCTGTGGTCATCTTGTGGTTCATCAAGGTGGGTGATCTAACATGGCCTCATTCACATGTCAGGTGGTTGGTGCTAACATTGACTTGTTAGTCTAAGAAGCCTCAGCTGGAACACTTGTCTCTGTTCCCTATGTCCTCTTATCCTCCAGGCTAGACCTGGCTTCTTCCCATGGGAATCTCAGGGAAGTGTTCCAAGATGATGACAGCAAAAGCTACAACCTCTTGAGGCCCAGGTTTGGCCACATTCTACAGGTCAAAGCAAGTCACAAGGCCAGACCTAATTCACAGGATGAGGAAACAGACTCTATCTCTTATGGAGAAATAGCAAAGTCATACTGTAAAGGGACATGCATACAGAAATGGGAGAAATTATTGCAGCCGTCTTTGCAAACCATCTACCATAATAGGTGTAAATATACAGTATGTATTATTTTGTATATTGCTTTTCCAATTAATATTATAACATGAACATTTTACATGTTACTTCAATTTCTTCTCAAACACTGTGTAACCCAAATGGCATTTTCTATCCCCAACCTCCCCTTTCTAGTCTCAGCTTTCTTAAGCGTATGTAATAGTGGACCTCTTATCTGAAACAATGGAATGGAGGTGTTCAGTTAATTCCAAAGTCAGTTAAAGCAGAGAATCATAAACAGTGAAACTGATATGTGTGAAACATTTTACTTTAACTTAAATAAATGAATTTACATTCATTAGTCCATCTTTTAATATAGAGCCAGAGCCTTTTCTTCAGAAAAATTCCACTTGTTGTAGTTCCTCACCTTCTTTCTTATATAACCTTACTCAATGCATAATCTCTGAGTTCCTATTTCAGTGTCTTTATGATAAAAAAATCACTTAAAGACACTAGCAAAGCAACCAAAGTTTTAGATTTTTATAATTTTTTCCATTCTTTTACTGTTAGTTTGCTCATACCTAATTCAGCAATTTCTTCAGAGACTTGCTTTATCAAAATTTGCCAGAAAAATCAACTTTGTTGTCAGGGAAACAGTAAGTCAACTTTCATTTAGTGCTCATTTCATCAATCCATAATACTATATTTAATTACTTAATTACAACAACAACAACAATAATAATAATATAATCTGGCATAAACACGTTTGGAAAGAAAGCTGATTTAGATTTATATACAGTCTCATGGATAGATCTTAAAATATAGTGTTGAGTGAAAAATATAAGAAACTATTTGAAATCTATCTTTGTTTGTTTGGGCTTCTATAACAAAAATAGCTTAAACTAGATGGCTTATAATAAAAGAAATTTATTACTCACAGTTCTGGAGGCTGGGAAGTCTAAGATCAGGTGCCAGCAGATTTGGTGTCTGGTAAGGACCTGCTTTGTCATAGACAATATCTTTTTGCTCTGTCCTCACATGGTAGAAGAGGCAAGGCAGCCCTCTGGGGCCTCTTTTATAAGGGTACTAGTCCCATTTATGAGGGTCTTCCCTCATGATCTAATCACCTCCCAAAGGTTCCACCTCCTAATTCTATCATATTGGTGATTAGGTTTCAACAGATGAAATTTGAGGGGACGCAAACATTCAGACCATTGCACTAACATATAATAACATTTATGGATATTAGAGAAACATACACACAAATCGCAAACAAACAAAAAAGCATTATACGTTTTACAAGAATACAAAGAGACCCAAAGACATATATCAGACAACTGTGCTTTTGATATACGTTATGAATGCCTACTATGCGGGAAGAAAATGGAGAGAGAAGATACAGGGAAAAGTGAAATACGATAAAATGAGACTGTATTGATTGTGTGCCTAGAAACAAGGGATATATTAATCTAGTGATTTCTTTCCAAGAATTGGATGTATAATGTATGTTAGTCCATTTGTAATTCAGCCCCTCAAAATGCTAGTTACCCATCAAAATAAATGACAAGTGACAATGAAACATCAAATTTTGCATTTTTAATAAAATTCTGGCTCTATCATTTGCTACCCAATGACATTGAGCAAATTTTTAAAATCTCTCTGTGCCTTAGTTCTCTTATCTGTAAATTGGGTGTAATAGTAATAATAATAGTACCTACCTCATAAGGTTCTTATGAGAATTAAATGTGTTAATATAAAATCTCTCTGTGCCTTAGTTCTCTTATCTGTAAATTGGGTATAATAGTAATAATAATAGTACCTACCTCATAAGGTTCTTATGAGAATTAAATGTGTTAATATATGTAAAGGACTTAGAAAAGCACCTGGCACACAGTAAGCACTGTATGTATGCATCACTACAACTACAACCACTATTACCACTACTACTACTACTGGTGAATTACAGTGTTATTAGTACATCACCCTGCTTATATCCTGCAGATCAGGTCATTGTAACTTCACAGAGAAATTATTGTCTAGTATGATGTCTAGCATCACATCTAATCATTCTTTTTTTTTAAAAAAGTATTACACTCATATAAAAAGTGGATTAAATATGTATAATTTAACAAACTATTATAAACAAAACACTCATGTTAATCACCATTCAAGTCAAAAAAAAATAAAACATTACAAGCATCCAAAGTCCCCCTTGTGCCTTCCCTGATCATAATCTTCTCCCTCTTCCAAAAGCTAAACACTAGTCTGACTTTTTTGGTAATAATTTCCCTGCTTTTCTTAGATTCATCATCTCCATATGTATCTCTAAACAAAGTAGCTTACCTTTGTTTATTTTTGAACATAATATGAATGAAATCATTGCATATATATATGTACACACATGCATACATAAATATATAAATGTAGATAATTGTGTCTTGCTTTTTTCATTGAATATCATGCATGTGACAACCCATATCATTTAGCGTAGCTGTAATTTATTCATGCTCACTGCTTTATAGTATTCCTCTGTGTGAATGTAAAATTCTTATCCATTTTATTGTTGGTGAATATCAGGTTGTTTCTATTTGGGGAGCTATTCTGAATAGTGCTACAATGAATATTTTAGTATATACCTCCTAATAAACATATGTAAATATTTCCATCAAGTAGAATTACTAACTTTTACATGAGATTCTTGGTGAGGCTGTAAACTCAACTTACATTATAATTCTGCAACACTTTATTATGAAAAATTTCAAATATATAGAAAAGTTGGCAGCATTTTACATTTAACACCTGTATGTCCACTTCCTAGATTCTGCACTGACATTTTACTGTACTTGCTTTATTACATATCCATGCATCTATCCACCCACCAATCTTCCTCCTATGCATTTCAAAGTAAATCCCAGGCATCAGCAAACTTCACCTAGTATTTCTAGGTATACTAACTAGAATTCAATATTTGTTGAGTTTTTTTCCTTTTAAGTTATATATACATATAGTTATATGCACAGAAGTTATGCGTACATTCACTGGTTAGACAAATGCCTGAGTGTCCCGACCCCCTATCAAGAAAGAGCATGTTATCAACCCATGTTTTTTCTTATGCCTTCCCAATCAATCCCTGTCCCCATCACCTGGAAGCAACCACTCTTGATTATTTTTTACAACATAGATTAGTTTTGCCTTTCTAGAACTCCATGTAAATGAAATCATACAATGTAAGGCTTTTATAACTCAGCATATTTTTGAGATTCATCCATGTTACTCTATCAGCATTTCATCTCCTTTCATTGCTGAGTAATATTGCATTTTAATGAATATGCCACATTTTATTTATCCACCCTCCTTCTGCTAGATACCTGGTTCTTTGCTGTTTGATGTTATTATGAAAAGAGATGCAGCGTATGGCCTTCCACAAGTCTTTTTATGGTCATGTGTTCCTGTTCTTCTTGAATAAATACTCAGTAGAGCAATTGCTAGTCATAGAGCAGAAGGTTTACTTTTATAAAAAACTGCTGGACACTTTTCCAAAGGGATTATACCATTTTTAACTCCCGCCACCAATGGACATGAATACTTCTTGTTCTACCTACTTAAAAGCACTCAGTGTTCAGTCTTTTTAATTTTAGCTGTTTTGGTGATGTGTGGTGATATTTCATTGTGGTTTTAATTTGCATTTTCCTGATGATTAATGATATTGAGCACTTTTTCATGTGTTTACTTATTCTTATATCTTCTTTTGTGCAGCATTTATTCAAATCTTTCACATTTTTTACTAGGATGTTTATCTTTTCGTTATTCAGTTTAGGAGTTCTTTATATATCCTGGGAGATATATGTTTTGTGAATATTTTCTCACAATTTATGTTTGCCTATTCATTTTCTTGATGCTGACTTAATAAGTAGAAGTTTTTAACTTTGATAAAGATTTTTCATGCATGGTTATTGCTTTTTGTGTTCTAAGAAAGTTTTGCCTATCCCTAAGTCACAAAAATGCTCTTCTATCATGTCTTCTCGATGCTTTATAGTTTTAACTTTACATTTAGGTTCCACAATCTATCTTGAATTAATTTTTGTGTATGGTGACTTTTGATCCAGTAAAGATTGTTATTTTCCGTTTGAATATTCAATTATTTCAGCGTTTTTTGAAAAGGTTTTCTTTCCTTCATAGATTACTTTGGCATCTTTATTGAAACTCCAATGTTCATACAAGTGTGGGCCAATTTCTGGGTTCTCTATTCTGTTCCATTGATCTATTTGCCGATCCTTACACTAGTCTCCATGCACACAAAGAGGTCATGTGAGTGCACTGTGAGATGGCAGCCCCTGTACACCAAGAGAGGAGGCCTCTGTATGAAACCTGCCTTATCGGTACCTTGATCTTGTACTTCCTAGCCTCCAGACTGTGAGGAAATAAATTTCTGTTGTTTCAGCCACCCATCCTATGTTATTTCGTTATGGTAGCCCCAGTAGACTAATATACTTGCCAATAACTGGTATAGACAGTCTTTAATATTTTCCCAACCAATGTGTGTGAATTATATGAGGGTACTTCAAAAAGTTCATGGAAAGATTCATGTAATCTTTTTTTTTTTTCCTTTTTGTCTTTTTTCATGTCCGGCAACAGATCGCAACCCTTGGTGTCGCGCCCGCACCTCGCTCAGCCAGTGAGCGGGAACCGGTCTGTATGTGGGATCCGAACCCTCGGCGGGAGCGCCGCCACACTCCCAAGTGGCGCACTGTAGCAGTGCGCCACCGGGCCAGCCCGATGTAATCTTTGAATTCTATTTTTCCACAAACTTTTTGAAGTACCCTCATATTTATTTCCTATTTCCTTTTTTTAATGAATCTGAAAAACTTTTAATATACTTTTTGGCTATTTGAATTCTCACTTCTATGAAATACAAATCTTTCTCACTTTTTCGATTTGGTTGTATGCCTTTTTTTCTCTCTCTCTCTCTCTTTTTTTTTTTTTTTCCTTTTTTTCTTAGTCTAGATAAAGGTTTGCAAATTTTGTTGATCTTTTTAAAGAAGCAACTTTTGGTTTTGTTGATTTTCTCTATTGTTTTTTAATTCCCTATTTCATATATTTCTGTTGTAATCTTTGTTATTTCCTACCTACATTTGCTTTTGGTTTACTTTGCTCTTCTTTTTCTATTTTCTTAAGATAGAAGTTTGCATTACTGATTTGAGATTTTTCTTATTTCTATATTTTTTTCCAATTTTTATTTTATTTTGTCAATATACAACGTGGTTATTGTGGCCCATTACTGAAACCTCCATCTCTCTGCTCTCTCCCCCCTCCCTCACAACAACCTCATATCTGTTTGCTTGTTGTATCAATGTCAAGGAATTGTAATTGTTCTGTCTTCTTCCCTCCCTCTCCCCCGGTTTTTTTGTATATTTATTTATTTATTTTTAGCTCCCACAAATAAGTGAGAACATGTGATATTTCTCTTTCTGTTCCTGACTTGTTTCCCTTAATATAATTCTCTCTAGGTCCTCTCCATACCATTTCCCATAAAGGCTTCACCTTTTTGCAGTCCCACAATAATGTATGAGAGTTCCTTTTTCTCCGCCACCTCGCCAGCATTTATTCTTCATAGACTTTTGGATATTAGCCATCCTAACTGGGGTGAGATGGTATC